CTTCTTCGGCGGGTATCTGCCTTTTAGATCGGGCCCGCTTTTGCTTCTTATTCTCATTTTCATCCCGTAAATCCTTGTTTTCTTTCGCTAGTAAAATAGCGCTATGCATTGCAAGCTCGCAGCCTTTGATAAGTTGGTTTAATGCACGTTTAGAAGGGCTTGTTGGGCTTCGAGATTGGGTTCGAAGTAAAGCTTTAATAGACGAAGCCTGTCGACGTAGATCTTTGCTATTAAAAGGGGTTTTTGGGGTGAAATTCCGGCTTGAATCGCTACCCCGGCTTGGGGGGGGGGTTGGCGTTCGAAGATGAATATTGAGTTTTGAAAGTACCCGATTGGGTGAAAAAGGTATTAAACCGGCTGCTGAGAAGCTATTTTTAATCGTCTCCGATTTAAAAGCTTCAATTCGTGCGGAGGGGTATGCTTCGAGGAATTTAAGTTTATCAATATGGTTGATCCCGGTCCGCATTTTCATCTCAACCAACCAGCCGTACGACCGTTTTACCACCGCAAAACAACCGATATCGAGAGGTTGTAAAAGGTGAGAGGAATGCGGTGGCATACAAATTGGTATAATATCGTTTTCCTTACAAATTTGATCGAATTGAGGGGTTAAATGGCTTCCGTAGCCATCGAGTACCAAAAGTCGATACCTTCCTACTATACGCAATGAAGTTAATAGTATAAAGAGTTTCTGAAGCCAGCGAAGTCCAATTTCATCTAATGTCTACCCATTTGGACTAACTTCAAAGCGCCAGTTACTAGGAAGGCCTTCGAACCATGATTCAAGGAAGACCTTGCCTTTGAAAATAATACACGGAGGGAGGACCCATCCCGCCGCGTTTATACATTCAATTGCAGTTACCCACTCGCGATTTCCAGGTTATAAAAGTGATCTCCGACCGTAGTATTCACTTCTTATTATAACCTTTGCCGTTGCAGTTAATCCCATTACAAATCCGGTCTCATCGAAGTTATAAATATCGTCTAGGTCAATCCCAAATTGAATGATAGTTTTTTGAACAAGATTAAACCATTCTCCAATGATTTTTAGGTCTTCACACTTCGCGCGCTCATAATTATAACGTCTTGAGAACCGAGAGGAAAGAAGAGGGCGTCGTTTTATGAAATTATAAACCCATTTTTCGCCAACTAAAATGACTGGGGTAGTTCCGCGCTTTTCAAGAAGAAGATTCGCCATTTCTTGTACCATAGAGGGCCGGGGAGCTGATCCACGAGAATCCATAGAGAGAATCCATTTTTGAAGAGATTCCTCTTCAATTGTAGTCAATTTAGTCGAGTTGGCGCGAGAAGTCGCGCGGCATTGTATTCTATCGAGGCGGCGCCGAAGGGTTGAACGCGGGACGTTAAAGGTACGGGCGGCAATAGAAATATTGGTAAATTCTTGTTTCTTAAAAGCCTGGATAGCTAGTAAGATCCTACCCTCCTGCTCTATTGAATCTTTAGAGGATTGAGAGCGAATTGGTGGCATGGTGGGTGGTTGAACTAAGTAAGTGCTAATTCATGGACGCGTTTTTGGGTAGGGTGGCCACTCGCTTACAGTGGCCACTCGCTTACCGATTACGTTATATCATGAAGATCATCTACGGAGTATACAACATATACAATCAATATGTCCATTTCACCTGCTTGGCTCTTTTTGGAAGACAGCATATCATCAGAAAACTAGCATAGTCTTGTTGTCATTCTATTATATCTTCTACGCTAGTTTGGTCGATTAGGCTTCACTGTCCAACTACAGAAATATCTTCCCTATATCTTAAGCACAATACTGTCTTCTGTGGGTACGTGGCTATATTTGGCCCATTAGCTATGGCGCTTCTTTTGTTTTGTTTTGCCTATAAAAGTCATGTCTATCGGAGTTGCGGTCAACACGAACAACGGGGAAGATCCTCAAGTGGATATATATAGCGTTCATTCCGTCATTCACTACAGAATCTAAGTGAGACTTCCATAGATTACGCATGCTTAGCCCAGCATCTGGAAGCCCAGTATCTGGAACAATAAGGATATCAGCAAATAAACTTTAAACTAGTTATGGCAGGACGCAAACAGCATACTTCCCAATTAGGTTATATTGATATCGGCAAGGATAAACTAAATACCGACATGACGCATCTTGTGATCTGGAGACCCCAAATGCAGTGCACCAACAACAAGCACCAACAACAACATATTTCTATTCTGCAAATATCATTTCGAAGCATTAGCGGTAATTTTGAATTTTCTCTTCCTTGATCCTTTGTCCCATTGACTTTCTGAGGAGGACGGGGTACAGAAACATCAATTTGAGTGCTGACGCGCGACGCGCGACGCGTAAGGCATCGGATTTTACCTTCTAACAATTCTGTTTGCAATGGTACGCCAAATACTAGCTCGTTCCTCAAGGAGCCGGGTGACGCCCGCCCGTCAACCGAAGCGTCAGAGACAGGCAGACGATCATGCTCCAGATATCTATCAAGAACTGTTGGAGGAGGCCGAAGATAGAAATCCTGGTCAATATGATTCGGACAGACCAATCAAAAGGCACAAGGCCGGAGATAGGAAAGCTATCCCTGTGGGATTAGGGGCTTCGGAACAAACACACCAGGGCTCAGAAAAAAACCAACATAGCACCCAACTAGTGCAAACTGCTTACGATTCATCGACATCAGAAGAATCAGACGTTGATTGGGAAGACGTTGAATTACAGCAACCGCCTCAGACTTTGTGGAATGAAAATTTTGTGCCTCAAGGCGACGACGAGGTGCTCCAGATCACCCTAGAGCAGGAGCCCGAGAAGCACAAAAAAATGATCCAAAGAAGGAAGCCCTTAACTGGAGCCGAGAGAAAAACCAGATTGGATGTGCACAAATCTCATATCCTTTGCCTTCTTGGTCACGTCCAGTTGCGCAACATGTGGTGCAACGATGAGGAATTACAGGTGAGCGTTGGCTCACATGGGATATCGATTGGGGGACTAACAGCATCATAGGAATTCCTAAGGAAGACACTGCCTAAGAAAGTAGTGGCGCTTCTGCATCCAAATGAGAATAAACCACATTACAACAGATCTACCACGTTTATGGACGGCCTCAACCAGGCTGCAGATGCCTTCACACGCAGATTTAAGGTTACTAAACCAGGAATGAAACGGGCCCACTGGGCGGAAGATGAATATCAATTGAAGCAGAAATTGGTATCCTCTACAAGTTTTTCCATCAACAATTTTCCACTGACACGAATATGTAGGAGTCAATCATGTCGAATGCTGAAGTGTTTCTATCCAAAGGAGATTTTCGAACCCAAGCGAAGACAATGGAAGGCTCCCGAGACTTTGGGGCTCAGCTATTCTGTGCCCTATTGCGGTCTGTAGCCGTAGAGGCGAGACTTGTTTGCTCATTGCAACCGTTGCCATTTTCTGGCACTTTGAAAGACATGACGCCGTCTAAACCAAAGCATCCATATATTGTGATATCCTCAGACGATCATGGCTCCTCAGCAGATGAACGAAATAAGGATGAAAAACCACCTGCAGCTTCGAGGCCTCGACGGATTGGACAGCCTAGATTCACACCCTCGCGCCCCCCCCAACCAAAATTCCATTCAGGCATGTCAATTCCAGCGATTCCTAGTCTACGTCCAACTAACACGCATAGATCCGATTGCAACATCGCGAGACTCGCCATTTCCGGTATTTTGGGTGGAAGCTTTCAACGAAGCTGCGCAGAAATGGGTTTCAATTGACCCCATCGTAACAAAATCCCTTGCTAAACCTTCGAAGTTTGAACCACCTGCGAGTGATTCATTGAATTTGATGAATTATGTGGTTGGTTTCGAGGACGACGCTTCCGCAAGAGATGTCACTCGTCGCTATGTAAAAGCATTTAATGCAAAGACGCGGAAACTGCGCGTGGAATCGACACGGAGCGGCGAGGAGTGGTGGAATAAAGCGCTAAAGGCTTATGAAAAGCCCTTCTTCGAGGATCGGGATGCGGCAGAGATTAGTGAACTAACATCCAAATCAGCAGCTGAGCCCATGCCACGCAATATCCAGGACTTCAAGGACCACCCTATCTATGCGCTCGAGCGACACGTTCGTCGCAATGAAGTGATCCATCCCAAACGCATCATTGGGCACGTGGGGTTGGGAAAAAGCGTATCGCGGAGTGAGACATCAGAACCCGTTTATCGTCGAGCTGACCTGCATATTGTGCGAAGCTCCGATAAATGGTATCGCCTTGGGCGGGACGTTAGAGTTGGCGAGCAGCCTCTCAAGCGTGTTGCTGTAAGTCGAAATAAAGCCGGGAGCTTGAGTGACGATGAAGATGAAAACGAGTCTCAAGAGACTACACTATACGCCGAGTTCCAGACGGAAATCTACGTTCCACCACCAGTAGTCCAGGGGAGAATCCCGAAGAACGCATATGGGAACCTCGATGTCTATGTGCCTAGTATGGTTCCGTCTGGCGGAGTTCACATCAAGCGGCGGGAGGCAGTTCGAGCTGCTCGAATTCTTGGCATTGACTATGCCGACGCAGTCACTGGATTTGACTTTAGAGGCCGTCGAGGCACGGCTGTATTCGGGGGAATTGTTATTGCCGTCGAATACCAAGAAGCGCTTGAGGAAGTTTTGCGGGGTCTGGAAGATGAGAGGCGGCATGCTGCACTGGAGGCAAGAACTGCGGAGGCTCTGCGATTCTGGCGGCTCTTTTTGGTGAAACTTAGGATCGCAGAAAGAGTCAAGGAATATGCTAGCGATAACGAAGAACAACAGCTCGAAGGTATCGAAGACGAAATGGATGTTGAAGATGCTGGTGGTGGTTTCTTTCCTGAACCAGACCAACCAGCCAATAGCCCGTCTCTGAAAGTCCTGGGAAAGGGCAAAATGGTACATGACCAGAATTTTCCCGAAGAATACACGGAACCAGAGATGGAACCGTCATTGCACGAGGAGGATTATATTCTTGGAGGCGGGTTTCTGCCCGATGATCATGACCCAGCTCCGAACCCAGTGGAACCCCCCAAGCCTGCGCCTTTGGCCGTAAACCCGACATCGATTCCTGAGATTATTGCCAGGAAAAAAGCATTGAAGACCCCTCGCTACTCACTGGTGGTTGTCCCAAACCACGGCTTAAACTCGACATCCGTATCCGGAGTCCTCGCAGGATCATCTGACAATGTTCCTATCGCAGTGGATTCATCCACAAATGGTGGCTCCAAATCCGCAAGTGTGGTCACTATCTCCCGGCCACCGTCACCAGTGCCCAATTATGATTCTGATAGCGAGATCGAGAAGGGTTCCTTGCTTTCTGAGGACCCTGAAGATGAGGATGCAATTCCCGAATGGCTGATGTCTGATGAGGACTAGTTTTTGATAGTTAGACCTGCTGTATGCTATCTATGTACGCTGAAAATCAAATATTCAAATGAAATATTCAAATAAAACCAAATCTTCAGAGCTGCTGTACTGCTTTTGGTAACGCCTTCACTACCATTTGTGTTTTGTATAGATCACATCTCAATCACGGTTATGTATCATTATAGCGCAATCCAATACAACAGCCCGGCCGGGCTAGCTCAATCGGTAGAGCGTAAGACTCTTAATCTTAAGGCTGCGGGTTCGACCCCCGCGTTCGGCTATTCCTAAAACCAAACCTGAGATTTCTTTTTTTGCTTGTTGTTTTGCTTTTTTCATCTTCCAATTTGAGGATTAGACAGTCCAGATTTGGGATAATTGCATTGTTCTTTTAGTACGTGTCCTAAACTCCATTGTAAATGCAAGGGGGTGGGGTCTACTCCGTATAATGCACGAACCAAGTCGATATTAGCGACGCGTCGACGCGAACCGCCTTAGGCATCTCTCTCATCTTTTACCGTTAGGCCCCCAGTCCAATGTTTAGCCTTGAACCATTGCTGTTGCGATGAAAGAACCACCGCCTGAAGCTAGAAACCTGCCAGAGACTCCTCGAAATCAGTTCCGCACTCCGAGAAGCCATAGTCCACAAGGTCTTCCAACAACTGCCACGAAAACCAAGACCGCACGGAACCGACCACCACAGTCATCGACATCGGCAAGCATTCGTAAGCGAACATCGCTGCCACGAGTTCAGTCTACTCTCACGCAAATTGACTTTGTGACACAGTCCACACCTTCCAATGATGACCAGCTTAGCTACATCGACGAACACAAACGTCGTGACGATACCCACGACACAACTGAGCGGCCAAATGTAGATGATGAGTCCGACAAGGAATCGGACTATCTTCCTGCTCCACCACTTCGGTCGGCCCGTATCTCGAAATTCAGAATGAGCGAACGAGAGCACGATTCGGATGAACGCCCGCAGAAGCGGAGGAGCTCTGGATTCGCTAGTCGAGATACACACCGAAGTGATGGACCACGAAAGAGCGAGGCCCCAAGGGCGAGTATTCGTCCTAGGGGCGGTCGAAAATCACTAGAGAAGTCAGCGGGGAAGCGGGACAAGACCTTAACTCAGATGGACTTTGTACGACGTTACATTACCATCAACGATGATGATGACGATGTGAACATGGGATATATTCAGCCGACACCGCAGAAAAAGGGCATGAAAGATGAACCAACCGAGCACACGCCGAAATTGAATCAACCACAAACTACGAAGCGTCCGACCTCCACCAAACGAAATCGCAGAGCTTTGGAAGAAGAGCTGGATCTCTCGACGGGCGAACCTATATCCCAGCAAAACGAAGCACAACAGTCAAATCCTGGAAGCGAAGGTGAGGGCGAGCGGGTATCTGCAGCTCCCGTGACACCGCGGAAGCTTCGCGCGCGCGAGATACCTTCTTCACAGACGCCTGAAAGCCCTGGACTCGCTATTATAACCTCATCTCAATTTCGCAGCGCTACTCGCTCTCCTTCAAAACGTAACCCGCTGAGTCCCACGGATAATTCTACGTATCCTGTCAAAGAAGAAACCACGGAGGCTCGGCGAGTGGTCGGGGATTCACAAGACCCTGGAGGTGAATCTTTACCACAACCAACAACATTCAATTCTCCAGGGATCTATAACCATTTGATTCACCCCGATCTGACAACTACCGAGGAATTTCCTTCATCTGCACCTCCAACGGAGTCGACTTCCCAGGAATTTCCCACCGAAGAAATCGGGGACTCGAGGAATGAACCCACCAAAAGAGAGAGGACAGTCATTTATGAAACGGACGCGGACTCAGAATACGGAGACTCTGAGGACAACCTCAATGGAAGTTCCGTGACACCATCTTCAAAGAAAGCAAACCGACCAATTGGTCCACAAGACGGCGTACAGGGGACTGAACACAGCGCGGAGTTATCCAAGGATGATTCTCAAGAACTTCCTCTACCAGTTGTGCAATCAAGCCCTGGACCCAATGATCCTCCATCCGAAGGTCCAATGTCTGATGCCTCAATTTGTTATCGAAGAATGCACGTAGCTACACAATTCCCGCACGAGCCAATCCCAATGCTGAATACACAGAAGATGGCTGAGCTGTTCCCTCACGGAGACAGTACCCAGTACACAAACTTGGAGGCATGGAGGCCTTCTCTTCGCAAACAGGCGACGGGGCCACTCTTGCAGACACAGAGCCAGGAAGGCGACAAAGAGTCTACTGAAATGGTCCCCGAGTCATCGCCTATCCGAGAACAAGAACGTGGAATCGATTCAGGTGATAGTTCGTTCCAACGACCTCGTGTTCCTGGCTCAGTGGTCCAAGTCGAGTCCTCACAGGCAGTGGACCGAGATCCTCAATGGCAGGGCCGAGTCCTCTCACGGAGCCAGCTGCTCACATCAAGCGTCATGGAGAGCATTCCACTCCCGAACTTTTGGATGGGGAGTCAGGATAGTGTAGGGGAGCCTTATAGCTTACCTGAAGGATGACATTGTTTCCGAGACCATTATTCAATGGATTATGATTTATGAAGACTTAGAATATTATTCAATATGATCACTCTAATCTTTACCCTGAAGCCGCTGCCCAGTGTGTTTATACGCTGTGCGGTGTGCGGTGTACGATGTAGTTTTGGGGATCGTCGCAAGCGGGGCGGTCGGGTGATGGACGAACGCGGAGACACAGCAACCTTGTGGTTCCAAAGTCTTTGACTCTCTTTTCCCTCTTGCAACTTCCTAATCATGGATATCGCCTACGATCACATCCAGGAAGAGGCATTTTCTAACGAAGAGGGAGCCCCCTCGGAGTCTAAGCCTCAGGAGTCCAACGCTAATCTCAACGATGAGCTACAAGAGACATTCCGCGCCTTCTCCGCCAGTCCATGGGGCTCCCGAATTGGAGGATTATGGAACAATGTACGCAAACAGGGAGAAACATACTACGAGGGTGCTCGCCAGGAGTACGCAGCTGCCAGCGAGGAAGCCGTGAAAGGATTTTCAGATCTCAGGGAAACACTCGCCGACCGGACAAGGGGGCTGTCTCTCAGCACAGCTGCTTGGACGGGCAGTGGCGAGGGACAAAGCGACGAGATCACCACCCCCACAGCTGCTGCAGGGGAAGTAGAATCTGGCGACAAGAGAGAAGGCGAAGGCGAAGGCGCTGGCACCAGTGGAGAAAGCTTTATTACTCGGTTGAAGGCGGAAGCCGCTCGGCGACTGAAGGAGATTGAGAAGGCAGAGGAAGCAGCCGATGAAGCGATTCTGCGATTCGGAATGAATATCGGCCAGAAGCTGCGTGAGGCCGTTAGCATTGTGCCGCCTGATACCGATGAGTCCGGCAAGCTTCTTTTCGAGAGCAAGGATGCTGAGGGAAAGCGGGTCATTCATGCTACACGGTTCGAGGCACAGCTGCACGTTATCCATTCAAACCTGGAAAGCTTCAGCAAGGACCCAGTCAGTGACGAGTGGCCTTCGTTCAAGAAGGAGTTCAATGTCGAAATCAAGACGGATGAGATCGCCGCCGATCTAGAGAAATACCCAGAGCTCCGTTCGGCTATGGAGAAGCTAGTGCCGGAGCAGGTGGAATATGTGGACTTCTGGACTCGTTACTACTTCTTGCGTCTCGTCGTGGAGACCGAGGAGAAGAAGCGCAAGGAGCTTTTGAAGGGTATATTGAGTCCATCATTACGGTGATTGTTGTTTTCCAGTTTTAATAACTTCTACTTTACAGGTGCCAATGCCGAAGACGAAGAAGAGGTCGGCTGGGACGACGACTCTGACTCTGAGTCTCAGTCTCCTTCTACTCCACATGTCCGCTCCGGTGCCCAGACTCTCGCCCCCACCAAAGAAACCCAGAAAGCCGAGCCTCGCCGGTCAAACGACCAGCAATCTCAAGCCGACAGCGAATCCAGCTACGATGTTGTGAGTGGCGCTGCCAGCCGTACACCCGGTAGTCCTAAGGAAAAGAGTCCATCCGCTGCGAAGGCGGATGAGAGCGACGAAGATTGGGAGTAACTCCCTTTTTCTTTTCAAGGACCATCAGCAAGATGATCCAAGTTGGTTCCGAGGGCACCTGTTTATACCATATACCCCCTGAGAGCGTGGTCTTGCTACTGCGTGCGCCAGCTTAAACACGGCTCCCTAAGTATCTGCTTTGGTTGGAGTTTAGGAATGTCGGGTCTTTTAATTTTGGCGTTTCGGGCTTTTCCCCTCCTTTTATTCCCAGCTTTGTTTTCTGCAACTTGCTTTCAGCGAGCGATGTTATCTGTCTATGCGGTTGATATCTGAATACACGTCATTCCTTCTATTTGAACAGTATCTCACCCCGGGATCTGACTATCTATAGCCCCTAGGTAGATATCAACTGACATCCAACAGCCGCTATGGATGATGGCATTCGCCAAAACAATTTCCAGCAGAGGATTCGTTCGCAAGGTAGGAGGAAAATGCACCCCCTATCTCATAATCATGATCATAATACATGTATGTCTAAGGCACCATAGTCCACAAATTTCCCATTCATTTCCTATTCATTCTGTCGCGCCAGGCCCTAGATCTCTAGCATTCAGAGGCCTACCCATCTTTTTCGAAAGAGGCGACTCAGCATACGCAGGCCTCATACCACGCTGACTACTGGGACGGACATTCGGTGAGCTTTTGCGCACCGGGGTTTCCGGTGTGCTTTCCCTGGAGCGTATGTGGAAGCCCTGCGATTGCCTAGTAGGCGAGTAAGGATCGCCGCCATATTGGTGGGGGCCACTATCGGGCTCCCAGCCGTACTGGTAATCTTCGCCGCGGTGTTTGACGGGGCTTTCATTGTAGGGGTCCCAGCCGACGCGACGACGGGCCTCCGAGCGCAGCCGCTGGCGGTGCTGTTCGTCACCACCAGCGCCGGTAGTGGATGATTCTTCCAGGAAGAAGTTAAGGAGCTCGTCGCTGATGGATAGGTGTGATTGTTGCTGGAATTGCTGGAGGGATGTCAGGCGAAGGAGGGTTTCGAGGAGGGAGAGGGAGGTGCGGATGTTCTCGAAGTGAGGGTTGGAGACTGTTGTTGTGGCAGGGGCGGATGAAAATGAGTGACTTAGGGGAGATGCGGAGTGGGATGAATGCCCCTTCTCATTAAGCGACAGCTTGGCCATCATATTTGGGTCGATTGAGGGTCCGTCTGCGGATGGTTCAAGCTTTTCAGCTTCGGACTCGGTATCGGAGGTTTCATCTTCGTTGTAGACTTCAAATGCGATCCATTCTGGGTCCAGTCCAGGAGGCAGACGCCATTCTTCGGGGATGGAGTCTTCATGCAGATAATCGAAGCTGCTGATTTCTGGACTGTCCCCTCCGTTCAGCTGTGCATCGAGTTGAGCTTGTTCCTCGTCCGCTGGTCCCTCCGATTCTGCCTGAGGAAAGTCCTCCTCCACCTCGTCACGTTCCATCATGCGCCGTGGCGGGAGAGCATTTAGGTCCCGTTTCAATAGCAACACCGGATTATTCGTTTCACCCTCTGTGCTGATATTGAGGATCCTCCCTGTATCTGCGTAGAATATCTTTGAAATTTGATGAATAGGAAGAATCTCCCGGATTCCTGCCGTGGACACGCCTTCATAGTTTTCGGGTTGCGGATCATTCTCATCGATTGTGTGGACTCGGCCATCATCTAGGTCTTCGATGATCAGGACTTGATAAGTGTATTCATCGGCCCCGGCTAGTCCTGGAAGCTTTGTCCGTGGGCGTTGGCCTGGAGCTTGCAATGCAGCTATTGGAACGCGACGCAGCTTCAAACGTGCCTTGTGCATGACTTCCTTCCACGTGGCCTCGCGTACAGATTCTTCGTCCTGAGGTCGCAAGTGGCTGGCAAATAGCATATACATCGATAAGGTAAAAGTTGGCCCTACTTGGACTGCCTGAGATGGGGACATTGAATATTGTGTATCCCCTGCTGTGAGAAACGTGCTTGCTTGGAGAAGTCGGGATGGCGATACCGTTGCGGGCAAGTTAGTGGATAACTTGGCCCCAGAGGTGGTGATCGCCAGATTCATCAGTGGCACTGCGTCTTCAATCCGAGCCAACAAATTCTTGATATCTTTGATAATAAGCTTGATTTCTTTCTCGCTGTTCGTCTGATCTTTGGACGATCTTGCTCCTTTGCGTCTCAATTCTTCAGATGCCGCAGCTCTTCCCAGCCGCTGTCCGAGGACTTGAATGTCCCATCTCAGAGACTTTGTGAGGGCGACAGCAGATTCCAATGACGTATTTCCTCGAGCAGCACTAGACAAATTGTGAGCTTTCTGACAATTCAACCCAGTGTCGGGTGACTCACATCAACTCAATCATGTCAATAGCTGGGGCGATAACTTGTATCTTGCTTTCAAGGCGTTGTTGCAATGATATTAGCTCCTCTCTGTCCTCGCTCTTGACATTCTGGCCAAGAAAAGAGAATTGATCAGCGCCTGGATTCTTTCTACACTCAAGAAGAACGCTTACCTTGAGCAAGCGCGACGACTGACGCATTGCATAGCTAGCAGTTATCGCAATTCCCGACCTGTGAAGGCTCTTAGCATTGGATGGTGTAGTTCTTCCGTCATTATCAAGCATACCGAATAGCATAATTCATTGCCTGCCGGGTGAGCTATATGAATTGCACGAATTAGCTTCTCGCTCCATCGCCAGTGACATACGAAACAAACCCCAGTTAAAAAAGTATCCATTTTGGTTCAAGCTGGAGGCCAACGGCCTTTGAACTTTGCAGTGTAGATCGTATTGACAGGCATATAAAACACCCCTGAGCAACCTATGAATTAAACCAGGTGCTTATCGATAAGAGAATGAGAGCTCAAAGGGAATGAGACTTTCCGACAATTTGTAGTTTTGACCTTGAAAGTAGACAATGGAGTGAAGTCAAACAGTTGAAAAGGCCATAAGCATAAGCAAACATGATGGTTTCGAACAAACAATTATTCACCTTCTCACATTTAACAGAGGAAACCCATTCCATATAATATCACGTGAAAAAGATATCGCGGGGTCTTAGTCATTCACCCGTGCAAAATCAAAAGGCACTAAGACCCCTCTTATTGACCCAACCTGTATTTGTCCAAATCCGTCTTGGTTTGGTATTTTCGTGTTAATACGACTTTAGTTCTTATTTCACGATGTCAAACCAAACACCTGAATCCTGGGAGGATGAGCTTTCCCGACAGGCTGAGGGCGTTAACCTGAACGCACAATCTCGCCCTCAGGCCCAGGCACCCTCATTCCAACCCGGCGCCGCCTCTTTCACGCCTGGAGCCTCTTCCTTCGTCCCCGGACAGCAGTATCAACAGTATTCTGGTTATCCCCAGCAGGGATACCCCCAGTATGGTCAACAACAGGCCTATGGTGGCTACCAGCAGCAGCAGCAAGCCTATGGCCAGTACAACGCCTATGCCCAGCAGCCCGGTGGCTTCAGCCAGTACAACAATGGACAGCAACAGCAGCAATACGGTGGCTACAACCAG